TCTCTGTCAGTTGGATAATTTAATTTTAGTTCGTGACGACGCCTCTGTCTCTCCCTTTCCCTCTACGTCGTGTGTGCCTTCCACTTGAACGCGGGCAATCGCCAGCCGCGCAATTTCGCACGGTTCCTTATTTTCGCCACGTAACGAGCATACGTAACGCGCTCGGCGATGAGCGAGACAATTACGGCTAATTACCGGACTCGCTTGCTCTCCTTCGAGGACACGGCGGTACATTAACAATGTACCGCCGCTCGGACAACTCAGTGTCAGAGTTGTTTTTTTTTTTTTCTTTCCTTTTACCTCGATGATCCAAAGTGTACCGCCGCAACAAGGCAAAATTGTGCTAGCGTGTCTACGGACAATAACAGATATCATCGATGCTCTCCCCGATCCGAAAAACGGGACAGCACGTAACCGACGAGTGCGTGCGTGAGTTCACCGACGATAGAACGCTCAACGTGTGGACGAAGCTGAGAACTAGGTTACTGCGAACCGCTACACCGGGTCGGGCTCCCGACCGTAAATTACCGGCGGATCCTTTTTCTTTTTCCTATTGCCGAAGAGTCTCGGCCGCGCGTATTAGAATATTCGGAACTGACCTGGTATCCGTAAGAAAGAAAAACGAGAAGGAGGAAAAAAAAAGGAAATAACACGCGGATAAGTGACACAACATCACGGTGCAACAGTCCCACTCATCGTGGGCGTCGAGTAATCTGTCCAATTTATCTGAAGTAATCAGGCCAATTTATCTAGAAGGAAGATGTAAACAAGCTTGCACGCGATAGCGGGGAAATATATTTTTTTTTTTCTAGACTAATATACAGGTATCCTTCGGAATCCTCGAGCATGACATCTTCCCCACGTGTGTGATCTCCTCCGCCGTGCGTTTTTGTTAGAATGAGAAGCCACGCGAAGCGATAACGTAATGGGTCAGCAATCATCACGGCCACATGGGTTTCCTGCGCCCGCGCCTTTCACGTCTTTTAGATTTTATTCGCGTTATCGAATCCATTTTCTCGGCGCTTCGCGCACGCGGGTGTGCCCAAGGTATGCGGAGACGCCCGAGAAACGATATGTTGTCGTGGTAATAAAATGCCAAGGCAAGGAGGAAGGAAAAAAAAAAAAGCGGCGAGTCAGCGACGACGTGCGACTCCCGTGTCGCGGCCGCGATCGCGTGGAAAGGGAGAAACGTGTTGAGACGCGAATTAAGAAATCGCGAATAAAATTTGCATGCCGAGCGAGAGGCGCCGGCGACTCTCCGGTCGTAGCGAAACGACCGCGGATCGCGGTCAGGTTTAAACACTCCCTCCGGAGGGAGTTTAATTCGCGCCAATTTGTTGCCGACGCGTGTTCAGCAGTCATGGTTTGTTACTTTTCCGAGACGCGAGACGAGATGAGGAAACCCGCCCACCCTGACGCCGCGTGTGCAGCAGGTGCAGCCTGCCTGTGCGCGTCCGCGCCTCTCGAACGAATTACAAGGCAATTCGATTTTAACGGCATTCACATGAGCCTCGTTTAAAGGTGCTAAAAGTCTCCGCTTTTGAAATATTTCCTCTCTCCTTTCTCGCCCAGAGGCGAGAAAGATCGGAGGAAAGATTGGAGAATCGACGCGATTAACAATCCGCGTGCACGATTTTCCTAGCTACGCTTCCGCACAGGTGGACAGAGATCGTATTTCGAGATCCGCACTCCATTATGAAATTCCCGTGACGCAATTATCGACTTGTATGTCACGCAATTAAGATAATGCGCGCGGCAGCGTGACTCGCGCAACGCTGGCTCGCATCGGCGACGTAGTTGCCGGCGTGCCGCGGCAATTGATTATAATTCCAACGGAATACATTCCCGCGTCCGTGGCACGCGTTCACGATCGACCGGCCGAGCCCGAGCGTGTTTGTCTACGATCCCACAAGATCACAGCTAGCCGCGAACGTTCCTTTCCGCGTTCGCTCGTTTTCTACGCGATGAGCGTAGACTCGGAGTCGGAGTCACGTCTATTCTCAGAGGAAATTCTCGGTGAAATCGCGCGCGAGTAGCTTCACTTATCGATCGTTACGTAAGAGGCAAAGTGTTGAACTGTTATCGGTGCCAATGTCAACGGTGTGCCTAAACGGCCTAAACTATTATAACTATAGTTACAACCGCGTTCCGCGGGGAACGTAGTAAAACTTTGTAGCCCGAGTCTTCGCTCTTCAAACACACAGCGCACGGAAATCGGAATGTATAATCGTCGCAGATAAGCTATCGCTAAAAAGGAACGTGGCTGTTTGTTAACATTCCTCGGACGTTCGATTATCGCGAGTTTAAGATCTATTTAAATCCCGATCGCGATTGTGAGAGAGAAGACGGCCTTTCCTTCGGTCGGATTCCATCCGACACGACAGATAGCAAGCGCGCTATATAAGATCATAATTAATTTCAATAAAACCTATTGACACCATCCTCCCTGGACGAGTCGTGCGGATTGCCATATGCGAAGAGTCGGTCCGCTCGCAATCCGCTTGCTATTCCGCTTGGCGCGTCGTCGTCATCGATCAGGAGACGAGCTTGTAACAAGTCACCAAGTCGCGATTTTGAGAGACGAGAAGACCCGTATCCCGTATCGTTGGCATCTCTCGCGCGGCACTGACCGGGTCGCGGATTCTCCCACGGGCACTATACCACAGCGCGCCGCGTGAGTTTTTCCGGCGACGGGAGGAGGAGGGAGGGAAAACGGGGGAGGAGAGGAGAAAGAAAAATAATCGCGCGCGGTGCGAGTAAGCTCGTAAAGCGTCGGAGGATCGATAGCGACTGACGATCGCGTTGCGGTCGACGCGGCGTGTACGACAATAAAACGTTCCGGATTCGCTTCGCGATCCCCGGCTACACCTGCTGCGTGCCACCACCGCCACCACTGCCATCGTCGCCGCCGCCGCCGCCACCGCCGCCGCCGCCGCCGCCGCCGCCGCCACCGCCGCCGCCGCCGTCGTCGCTGCCGCCAGGCGCGTAGCGAGCGAGCGTACGCGCGAGCGAGCATGCTGGATGACGCTGGATAATAACGATTACTCTATCCTGTCGGCTGACATTCGCATTCACCAAGCCGTGAATCCGCGCGTCGCGTCGCATCGCGTCATGTCGCTCGCCGGGCAACGTCGAATTACTCCCGTCATTGTGGACCGCTCGATCGCTCGATATACAGGATGTTTCAAAAGTGAGGGTCAATTATCCGGGAGGTGATTGGAGAATCAAATTTCAAAAACAAGAAGTTGATATGAATATAGATCCGGAAATGCAATTGTTTTCGTATTATCGATTATTTTTTATGTTGAAATTTTTAATTATTTTGCTTTCAAATTTTTTCGTCAAAATTGAGAAAAGAGATGCTCTTTATGAATTTTATAACATAATCAAAGCTAAATAAAAGTTGTGGGCTGCTTTAGCACTACACAGATGCACCACGTGGAAATAGAACCCGCTTAGCAGAGATCAGGGCATAATGTGCATTAAATTTTCAAAAAGATTCAAAGAAAACAAAGCAATTTCACATTTCAATTAATGGCGATAACTCGAAAATAACGCATTTTCAGACTTATGTTCATATTAACTTTCTTTCTTGTTTTTGGGTCATCATTCATCTCTCGAATAATTAATCTCGACTTATGGAACACTCTGTATACGCATCGCGGCATATACGGAAAGAACGGCTCATTTGAAAGTTTGCTTAGATACAGATCTGAAAATAATTTTGTTACGTTATTAAAATTATCACGTAGACTGTTTAAGCATGATGATAATACTGCAAGATTTATTTATATTCTAGCAATCAATTTGAACGTAATTATTTTGATGATTCAACAAAATTATTTTCGGAGTTGTATCTTGCCAAATTTTTAAATCCTTTATCAAAACTGTTCTTTCTATGTGGTTTTCATGTATCCCTTCCGATATCAGAGAGCTGATTACGTATCTTGAAGCAAGATGAAAATTAAGGTAATAAAATTTACAAGACTTCAACGTCGCTCTCTAGACACTCTAGTGAATTGCCTCGCTTTTATAATTTTCACCTCGTTCCTAGCTATGTAACCGAGATCCCCTGACTCTCCTCTTCTCTCTCCGCGAAATTTGTTTATCTTTTCACTCGATAATGAAACTTCGCGAGATGTGCCTGCGGTGTTGTACGACGCTGTCATACTATAATATACGCGGTTTCTATAGCTTAGTTTGGAGAAAGTCTCAAGAATCTTCATCACGCCCTTCCCACGCGCGTGTCGCCTAGAAAATTGACAAATCTAGTCGCGCGCGCGCGGGATCCTCTTTAAAGTCTCGGGCTTGATTGAAAGAGCAGAAAAATGAGCGACTCTTCTCTGTTAATTCGGATATCTCCTCTCGGACGTCGCGATCGCCGCGACCGTTCGGCAGTCCGGGATATTTTGTTGGGATATTGTTGGCGCGCGTGTACCGCGCGTGTTCATGCGTGCTCGCGCGTGTAGTAAATGGAGCACTGGGAAATTCGCCAATGTCCAGATTATCTATCCGCGTCTGCGCCGTGGTACGGCGCTCTAAATTATGTAAAAGTAGCATCGTGCCTCTCTCGCTCGTGCATGCGACCCAGCTGTGGCTATTATTTCACGAGATCGTCACTCGCCTCGATATCGCCCTTATAAGCGCGGAAGTCGCGAATTACACGCACGAGCGAACTACGCGGATCGGCGTTACGTTAAAACGCCGCCTTCTACCTGACCGACCTAACGAAAATTGCGGTTCAAATATTGCAAAATGACCTTTCCCTCGACCCTGCGCGCTTCAGCGAAACAAGGAAACGGTATCGATACAAGGCCAGAGTAATAGAGTAAATTATTTTCCTTGGTACTTCTTCATCGCTGAGATATTTATCCTACGGCCTTCCTTCTCCTTACTCTGTTCGCGAGATCGAGCTACGTCACCAGATTTCCAACTATTTCACTCCGAAATGTTTTCTCTTTCCCAGCCGGAGAGACGTACTGGAAACGCACTCTTATCCTTCGAGAGAGAAAGAGAGAGAAGGAGACAACAACATTCGTTTACCACGAATCGACGCGCGATATTTCGTCGATCGGGAAGAGCAAAAAATTCGTTGATCGCAATGTCTGTCTTTTTTTCTTTCCTTCTCTCTCCTCTCTCTCTCACACACACACACACACACACACACACACACACACACACACACTGTCCGGACTTACCTTGGCCATGTCGTGGGTGGGACCTCGACGATTCGGCACTAGCCTCTCTCCCGTCGTTGCCGGACGTGTGTCCCTCGTTTGTGATAAATCACGACGGGACTGTCCCAAATCACATGCCCGTTGCCGTACGTTATTCTCACGCAGGAAATTCGCACTGGATTGCCGCTGCTGCGCCGCTGCACCGCCGACGACGCTCGGAGTAACGGCTCTCGTCGCGGATAACGCGACGCCTCGCGTCGCGCCGCCGATCCCTTGTAAGCGCGACGACGCTCTCGACGCCGGCGTCGCCAACGACGGTGTTATTGATCGACGCCGTGCGGAGGCGTCGCTGTCCGTCGCTGTATCGTAGCGGCGGTGCTGGCGGCGGCGGGCGGGGGGTGGTAGAATCGCCATCGCGCTGGCCGATCGGGAAAATTATTTTCGCGGACGGCCCTCCGCGGGGTGGGAGAGGGCGGGCGGACCGGTGGAAGGGTTACTCCGTGAAATCACAACGATGTCAAGCCGAATTGACGTGCCTCATATTACTCGCAACTAACCGCGCGGACGTTTCATTGCCACTGAACACTCCCCGCGGAGCTCTATTCGGATATACCGATCGCTATCAAAACACGAAGTGGCGCGCAAAAACATTTTAACAACATACATGTCTCTGAACTCGTAAACATACCTCCCTCTCTTTCTCTTTCTTCACTTTGATAATAATCTACCTGATAATAAAAAAAAATAATATATATATATATATATATATATAAACATTTACCACGGAAAGTAAACTATTTCTCTAGTACGATTTCTAAAAATAAAGCGCGCTTCAATAATAATAAAATGACGAAGCGCTATCGAAAGTAGTTCGAAAGTTCTTAAGTCACCCTTTTTATTCGTAACCTTGTGACTCCCTTCTGAGTCACGAGCCTAACGAGCCTATAACGAGCCTATAACGCGCGAAATAAAAGGGATGCGTGATTCATCATTCGCGCCGTTAAATGTTGACCGTAGTTCCTTATTACGTTTCACTTTCCGTATCGCATATATATATATATAATAACAGTTCCGTATAATCATCACACGTTACGATTATGCTTGCTTCGAAAAGGTGAAGGACACGTTAATCGATATCGACGATTTTTCGTATCTTCCGTTCGAATTGACTACCGCAACGCCATCGGTCGAAGATCGCAAGAATGAAATATAAATTTTGTTCCATCCGCGAATTCGTCGGCAATATCAATCCCTGGCTTGCCGCCGCAGTCAAGAATTACGAACTGAAATAGAACGTGATTTGACGAGGAGGTGACGAGAATCTAGGAATTTTTCTCTCGGAGTTTTCCTAATATCCATGTCAATCAATGTAGAACAACTTTAATCTCGATTTAATTTATTTTAATTTCTTTTTTTGATTCTAAAAAAATTAATCTGTGTTGAAACTGAAAAGAAATACTTATTCGTAGAAAATAAAGTTTATTCAAATAATGATGAATTTTATTTATATATAGCAAATAGATTATCTTATAATTAGGAATAAAAATAAAATTATTATTATTAAATATTAAATTATTAATTATATTATATTTTACAGAAATGTATATTTCATCATCACAGTTAAATTTTTTGTGACTAGTAAATGTCGAAGAGAAAATGTCATAAGCTAATATTTACTTCTGAATATTTCTTTTTTTTTCTCAAAGTAGGAATGGACATGAACCGGTAAAATTGCCGATAACAAGATTTCTTTCCCTCTAATTCAACTTTTTTTGTGTCAAATAAAATAATAATAATTTTATTCTTATTGACAAAACGGTGACACGAATATTTTTAGCATATTTTAATTCTTACGTTCAAAGTCGATTGAACTATGACCTTAAAATGAAATGAATCAAATTGTCACGATGCTTGACGTGACGAATTTACTATTTTACGATTAAATCGTGATACTTTTGACTTAATAAAAATAAATATTTAACAAAGAAAAAAATAAACCGTACTTTATAGATACAAGATATCATAGAAACCTAATAGATACAAGAATTCATCAAAGAAAAAAAAAAGAAAATAGAATTCATACAACACAAAATAATTTAAACAGATGATTTATGTTGTTTTGCAGTTATTGAAAGTTTTCCTCACTGAAATAAAAAACTCTAGATCTAAAGTAATCCAATCACATATGATAATCTAAGCACAAGTAAAAAAGTAATAATTGTTTTCTGTTGAACGCGGAATTTTTTCAGCTATATTGCGTAAATGATGTTATTATAATATTGCTGGAATGTTTTCTGCTAAAGTATCTCGTAATTGTCTCGTTTCATGAAAATAAATTATTATTTATATTTAATATGAATATTATCAAAACACAGTTACAGTTTTATCGTATTCGGTAAATCTGAACAGTGACAGTTATAGAAATATTGATTGTTCAATTTAAAATTCTTCGGTTCAAGTTATTAATTTAATTACATTAGCATTTTTCGAATAAGATTTCGTAAGCCCCTCCTTTCCCGCAGAAATAATGCTGACGCACTTGAAATTCACGGAAATCACGTATTTGACTTTTGACACAAACATATTTTTTGCAAGATCGATAATAACAATTGATCACTGACTGTAAAGGCTATTCTTTTTTTTTTTTTTTTTCGTTTATGTTTCAATGCCATCAATGCGGCTGTTGAGATAAACGTTCTCTGACTCACGCTCGATAATGTAAACGACAAATCCACGCTTGTGCGTCCAGATGTTAATTTCTATCGCGATAATTATGTAGCCGATAATGAGCAGCCCGTTTTTTTTATTCCATCCGGGTTTGGGAAGGCCGTCGCAGTGTAGAGAACTCAGACTCGGTTCCGGACGGAGGCGAGATTCACGCGAGTCAGGGGGACCGATATCCGTGTCTCTCCGAGCGAGTGCACGACAATAGTTAGGGTACAAATTCCTCCTCGCGGCTGACAAAAAAGAAAAGAGTTTACCTCGGCGGTGTTGAGCAATCAGTCGCGCGTATGCATATGCCGATCGCGCGTTGTGTGGTCAAGGTAAGAATTTCATAACGCTGTCACCGCGGCGACGTCCATTCGTCAAGGAATGTGTTCGGTGCCACACAATCGGGAAGACGAGCGCGTGTATCCTTTCCTTCGAGTTTGAACGTCTCGGGAGTCGCCTCGAAGACACCTCGAATTTACGAAGATCAGTGCCGCCGGTTTGTCCCCAAAGAATGTTAAAATTATTCCTGCTCTGAGTGTGACATATTATATCTATTCCTCGAGATTTCTTCTAGACCTTTTATTTGATTTTATTTCATTTCATTCATCTCGCGCTGCTTTCTTGTATCCTGAATCATTTTGGTGAGCCCTCGCGAGGAAAGACATAAAGATTGTTATAAGGAAAAAATTAAAAATCGATACTCATAAAAAAATAAGTGCAGTTGTTGATTTTTTTAAGAAATCCTTATTCGATATTCAATTATATCTTGTTCGACTTATCATCTCGCGCGCGGTTTTTTTCGTATTACTTAAAATCAACTTCGAGGATACTTGTGAAGGCACGTATGGATGGATACCGTATAAGGGATGCAAGTCTACCGGTGTCAGCTTTGTGCAGATCGTCTTGCTGAGTAAGTATCTGATGAGAAATTCTTGAAGCGGACCGCACGCGTCGGCATGCACATCCGAAATTGTTCTTACTTGTTCGCGATTCGCTTCAACGCGCTAACGAGAAATGGTTATTAAATTGCAAATCGTCCACATCCGCTTCTGCGACGTCGAACAACGGGCCGCCTTATGCGTCGCTGCGACATTACCATGATGCGTCGAGAGCCATCGCGGATATTTGCAGGAATAATCTTCTCTTTATGCACACGACACGAAGAATAAACGCATTCACGCTATCTCTTAACGCGGTTTTCCCGAATTTGTAATAATAAACTGCGCGAGTGGCGATCGATCGACGTATATCCAACGCAATCTCTCTTTTGTATTACTATATTTGGATGTACGTGTATATGCATATTTACATCAAATGTTAATAAAATGATATTATAAAAAAATTATAGATATAAATAGCTTGTGAATGTGAAATTTTTATATACGTATGCATATAGCATAGAAATCGTTTTTAACGTAAATCGATATAACTTAATATTAATTTTATTTAACATAAATTAATATAATTATGTAAATATAAACACGAATACATGCATATTATAATAATATTAATAAAAGAAGAACAATTTAATAATTAATAATAATTCATTATTTCAATAATTTAATTATTAAAATTAAATTTAACTACCTAAGCAATATTATAGAAAAATAGTACAATGTTAATATAATACAAATATACATTTATATTTATGTTAAATATATACATATACATTTACATA